TAGATAGTCATGTCCTAGGGAGTGTGTCCTGGAAAGGGACACAGAAACACGTACTTCTGGAGGAGGTCAAGCATCCTAGGGGAGTTTAACAGGAATTCTCCATGAATTTTCTGTCTTCCCAGTAGCAAGGGGATCTAGGAAACAAGCAGTGGGAAGATATAGAATTAATTCCTCATTGGAAACTGATCTTAGGAGACTGGTTGAGAGATCTTCTTGCTGGAATTAGGAAAGAAAACATTGTTTTACAGATTGTTCTTGTTTATACATCCCATATTGGAATTCAATAGTGTAAACCATGAGTGGTGCAGCCAATAGGTCTCTGCTTTTTTACTGTGTGTTTGGACAGCCACTCTTTCCTAAATGTCAGATTTTTCCTGCTGAAATTATGTCCCTGATTTGCCTGAATCCTTTTGAATTTTAAGCCAGTGCTTGCAGCCCCTCCAGCTCAGGAACATCTGAGAACTCAATAAGGACATTCTCCACTACAAAACAAGTTATTGATGACAGAACAGTAAATAATAATGGTAAACAAAGAACTGGAATCTGTCACGGAAGGAAAGCAGACTCATCTGAAAGGATTCATTCTTGGCAATGGCTATGATTATTACTCATCTCTTTCTTTGATTGAAAGTCCCACTGTTTGTTTGGTGGTTTTTTTTTTGTTTGGTTGGTTGTTTTTTGAAACCCGACTGGCTCCTTGTTTCTTCCTTTTACCCTGCTAATGCTAAGAAACACGATGGTCTTGTTTCTGCGACCCCATCCCCCTCCCTCTTTTCCCAGAGATATTGGATGTTTGGAGGTGGCTTACATCAGTTTTTGAGTAAAGGAGATTTTTTTTCCTCAGGCAAGCAGTCTGAAAATAAGGAATGATTGAAATATACTTTAATTCAAACTTTTTGGAATCCTCCCACCTCCTCCACTGGCTGTTTTGCCAGTGGAAAAAGGAAAAGTGGCAGAAGACAGAAAATGAGCATTGATTAGATTTTCACTACAAAGACGGAAATTGAATAGAAATGCAAAATCTTTCTTCCTGCTGGATGCCCTGTCTTCCTACCACACAGCAACCACCTGGGAGATCTGATTTTGCTTGGAACTCTGCTGGTGACATCAGTGCTTCCCCTCTCCCCATGTTGTTTTTCTGTATTTTTCAGCAGTAGGAGATGCCATCTGGGGAGGACCCAGCTTTGGTTGTGTTCCTCCAGCTCCCACACAAGCAGAAATAGCAATTCCAGAGGCTACATTGCTGCTCGTTACCTTCAGCATCTGCCTGTTGACCTGCTGCTGCTCATGAATTTGCTCTACCTTTTATAAACCTGCTGATCCTATTTGTTTTCACAACCTCCTGTGGCAGTGAGTTCCAGAAGTTCATTCTCCCACCTGCTCCAAATAAAGTCCTTTTTATTCATTTTAAATCAATCTACCAGACTGATCGATGGCTTTAACTCTCACCATGCACCAGGTCCACGTTCTCTTTGTGATTTTGTAGGGCTGGCATGTTTTGCTCCCCCTTCTCCAGAGAAAAATCCCAACCTCCCCAGAACCTCCTTGTATTGCAGCTACCCCTGAGATCCCCCTGATCTCAGTTGCCCTGCTCAGGGCTGTAAATCCACAGTGTTCTTACATCCTAAGGTGTCCTGTTGCAACAGGACAAGGGGTGATGGTTTAAAACTAAGAGGTTTGATTTAGATTAGATGTAAGGAAGAAGTTTTTTACAATGGAGGTGGTAAAACATTGGCACAGGTTACCCAGAGAGGTTGGGATGCCCCATCCCTGGAAATTTTCAAGACCAGGGCTGGAAGAGGCTCTGAGAAAACTGATCTAGTAGAATCCATCCCTGTCCATGGCAGAGGTGATGAACTAGACAACCTTTAAAAGTCCCTTCCAACCCTAATTATTCCATGATTATAGGATTCTGTGATCAGAGGCCAGACCTCCACAGATGTGGGTGCACCAAGCTGTTACACAACAGGCAGGAGATGCTCTCTTGGTTATTTTGCAAGCCCAAGCCCTTCCTGATGACACCACCTTTTTTTTTTTTCCCTCTGCACATCAAGGCTATAATTTTGGCAAACCATCAGTGAGGACTCCAGCATCTTTTTCCTGAGCTGTAATAGCCAGCTTAAGTTCAGCCTCCCCTGTTTTAGATCATATTTCCCTATCCAGGTCACCCTCTTTAACTACACTGAAAGGATTGACCTTCTGTTTTTCCTTTTGTGAGCTACACTGAGAGCTGCACTTAGCAAAGTTCCACAGAGTACATCAAATATCCTTTCAGCAGTCTCCTGCAGCGATGGAGCATCATCTGACTTTTCTGTCAAAAGCTGAAACTGTGCAACTCTAACAGCAGAGTTTTGGTCCCTAATCCTGGGGGTACAGCTCTCTGTTATATTCTTCCTTCCCCTGTCACAGTGACTTCAAGTCAAGCTGCTGGGTGGACACAATTCAATGAAGATCTATCTGAAAATAGTTAAAGCAGAGTTTTTCAGTCAGGGACACTTTTTTTACTCCTTGCACCAGGATCAAACAGAGATAGGGGAGCAGACCGTGCCAGCTCTGTGCTCTCCAGAGACTTTTGCACATGGCCAGGAGGATCCCAGCTATGGATTTATGGAAAGCAATACAGCAAAATGTGCATTGCAACTGCTCATCCAGAAAGCTTTTAGACATCCCTCAATAGCTGAGCAGCTCAGTGCCTTTATTAATAGTAGAAAAGTATTTATCAAAATCCATGGGTCAGCACTGTTAAAGCTCCATAAATCCAAATTGCACAGGCCACCATTATTTATTTTTCCAGGTTGTTGCCTCTAAGAGGGATACTTCCAGTATATAATCCAAACTTCTCCACAGGCCTATTTGAAACACTGTAGGAAATAGATTCTCCAGAGCAGGGTCTTCCTCTTTTGTCTAACTTCCTGATGAAGGGCTGTGTTCAGGACTCATGGACCAAAGAGCAAGAAGCAGAAGTGACCAGCCCTGGCCATCACAGGGACACCGACACCACATTCACAGTGTCACTGACAGACAGAAGCCCTGGCCCCAGAACAGCCATGGTCCCTCAGACACAACCCCTGAGTGGCTTTCTGAATCCTCTGGGCTCTTGGTGCCACACAGGTTGAGGCAGATGCCACTGCAGATGTCACTGCAGCTGTATCTTCTGCCTGGCTGCAGGTCTTTGTGATCCACCTGCAGCATTGACCAGGCAAGTGGAGCTTCTTCAGCTTCTCCAGCTCCAGCTTCAGCCCCAACTCCAGCTCTGCAGCCAAAGGAGACCCTCCCTGGCCCAAACTCATCCCTTCTGAGGCTGCAAGGCTGCTCAGCCTAAGGGAAAAGGAGCAGCCCAGGCAGTCACTAAGCCAATGACAACATTTGCATGTCCCCATGTGTTTGGAGCAGCTGTCAGTCTGGAGGTGGCATGTCCTACATCCACACAGTTACAGTGAACACTGGAATGCTTCTCTTGGGAGCAAGCAACTCCAAGGGACCCAAGCTGTGAAAAAAAATAGGTGCTGTAACACATTCTGGATCTGACTCTGCATTGTGTTAGATAAGCTTAATTTATGCTCAAGTCTTTGAATTTTTTTTCTCTTTTAAGAGGAAAATAACTAGAAACAGCATTTCAAGAAAGTAATTTATAAGGGCTGATTGGAGATGAGCTGATATCTTTAAAAGTAGAGTTGAAGGCTAAATTAATGTAGAATGGAGACAGAAGGGTTTATTTGTTTTCCTCTTAGAAGAAGAGCTCTGAAAATCCAAGGATAGTATCACACAGGGGCAAATGGAAATGAACAAGCAGTGAACAAATTTAGGCTGGAAACTAGTAGAATATTCCTTTCCCATCCCTTGAGCTTTATGTGCTCAAGCTTCTGGGCTGATTTCAGGGAAGTCCTCTCCAAAATCAGGTGAGGAAATTGCCAGGATATTGCCAGCTCTGAGCACACAGCCTGCTCTGACTGGGATTTTGGTGATGTCAGAACTCCTAGAAAATGACAGGCACTTCCCCAGGGGACTTCCTTCCCATGCCCCAGGAATTTAATACAAAGATTAACATCTTGTGAGAGAAAGCAGCAAAGATTTTGAGCTCCAGAAGTAGAAACTCCTCCTCCAGGGAGTTTGTGGTTGACTGGAAACAGGTCTGAAGTCCTCAGCTAAGGAGGACTTGACTAGTAAGGGAGTGGTGGGATTTTTGCCTGAGCAAGGACTCTGAGATTGTCCCCAAGCTGCACTATTTCTGCTGGGGAACACATCAGAGATATCCCAAGGAAAACGCAGATAAAAGAAAATCCTTGACTCTTTTGAAATCAGCTGGAAAATCAGAGAATGAGTTGACCGTGCCTATGAAAGCCACATCTCCCGTGTCCTATGAACATGGCAGATACGTGCGAGCAAAGAAAGCAGTCGGGCTTTGCAGGAACGAGCATTAAATCACCCACCAGCTGAAGGGCTGAGCCTCCCCAGTGATTTCCCGTCAGAGCGGGGACACGGTGCGCTGGCCGGTCATGACCGAGACACTTATGTCCGGTTATGACCGAGACACTTATGTCCGGTTATGACCGAGACACTTATGTCCGGTTGTGACCGAGGCACTTATGTCCGGTTATGACCGAGACACTTATGTCCGGTTATGACCGAGGCGTGTGCACGTGTGTGATTTCAGCTTCAACCCATCTCCAGCTACCACCTTCCTCGGCCTTCAGGGCGCTGAGAAGCACACCCGGGAGCAGCACCGGCACCTCCGCAGGGCGCTCTGCCCCGCGCCCGGGATGCTGCGACCCGCCGGGCGCATCCCGGGGGCTCGCAGGGCCGGGGCGGGCGGCGCGTCCCGGCGGCAGCTGCGGCCCCGGTCCGTCCCCCCGGTCCGTCCTCCCGGTGCCGCGGGGGCGGGCCGGGGCGGGCCGGGGCGGGCCGGGGCGGGGCGGGCGGCGGAAGCGGCGGCGGCGGCGGCGGCGGCGGCGCTGCGGGGCGGGCGGGCGGCGGGCCCGGGGCAGCAGCGGCGGGCGGCCATGGCCGGGGCAGCCGGGCCGCCGCTGCCGCCGCTGCTGCCGCTGCTGCTGCCGCTGCTGGCGCTGCCCGCCGGCCGCGCCGGCCCCGGTGAGTCCCGGCGGGACGGAGCGCGGCGATGCGCGGGCACGGCGGGGGCTCGGGGGGCAGGGGCGGCGCTGGGAAAACGGGGGGTGATGTTGAGGGGAGCCCCGGGAGCTGCCCCGGGTGCCGCAGCCGCTGCCGGGGTGGATCTGCAGTGACTTAGGGCTGGCGCCGCGCTTTCCCGGGGGAGTCGGGGGCTCAGGAGCATCCCCGGGGAGCAGCGCTTGTGCCGGCCCTGCAGAGCAGCGGGAGCTCAGGCCACTCGCAGAGGGCTCTGCTGTGTTTGCAGCGGTTGTTTCCCTTGGGTTTGCCTTGTTTTCAGGTTACTTTACTTCCAGTGCATGCCGACGGATGGATGGGAGCGGGGCTCTTGGGAGAGCGGCGGGGCTGGGGACCCGCGGGGATTGCGCCCCCGCTGCGGGGCTGCTCTGGGGTGCGAGGTGCGGGGAGCTGAGGCTGTTCGCCTGCCCGCTCCGTCTCGGAGGTCGGCTCCTTCTGCCCGTGGCTGTCCTGTGCATGGTGCTTATCGCTTCCTCCGGTCGGCAGAGCGGGAGGCTCTCGGGAGCCGCGGGGGACGTGGCCCCGTGCCCCGGCCCACCCTGCCCTGGCATCCTGCTCGCTGGGTGCCCAGCCCCGGAGCTCCCTGGCCCCAGGTGTGCTGCTGGCTTTGTCCCGGCGCCGTCCCGCCGGCGGTGGGAATGCCTCGGTGGGGTTGGTGTGGGTGCTGGCAGGGATCAGCCGCTCCCCAGGGGATCGAGGGGTCCTCGTTCTGCAACATTTGCAGGTGGATTTTAGACCCGGGATAAAGGAACGGGATTTATGTTACATTGTAAGTGGCAAAACATCCTGCAACATAGCCCAGTCTTTTCTCGAGTCAGGCTCATCAAGTCTGTAGCTTTAGACAGTGTCTGCTTTGAAATGAGAGCTTCATGCCTTTGATGGGACGCCCTGTGAAACCCGCAGTCAAGGTATTATTTCCTAAAACTACCATGAGATCATCTTTGTACAAACAAACCCGAGCTGAAGCAAGTGACTCTTTACTCTGAAATTGAAATAATGTGTCTCCTCTGTGCATCAGGGATTCTACCACATTCTGTTCCTTGTCTTAAAACACTCCTGGTTTTCACACAATACCTTTGAAATCTGCTTATGCGAGATCTGTATGGAAGAGGATGGAAAACAGCATCCACGGGACAGGTCTCTGCTCAGTTGAAAGCTTGTTTCACATCATGGAACAGTCAAGTGGGATTTTCCAGGTGTTGCCATGCTAGTGTTGAGTAGACTGAATAGATATGGATGGACACAAACAGAGCACAGCACATGCCAGAGAACTCTCTCCTCATGCAAATGGGCTGCCAGAGCACACACTTTGGCTGCAGTGACCTGTCTTTCAGGCTTTTCTGAGCTGATGTCCCGCTTATCTGTGGTATTTCCTTGTCACCCTGGGTGGAGGGAGTCACATACCAGCTTGTGGTGCAGCTCTGGGTGCCCAGCACAGCCTGTGAGCAGGGGCTCAGCCCTTGTCACCACAAGAAGCTGTCAGTGGACTTTGCCCACAGCCCCAGCTGGAGCTTACCTGGTGACAGGCAGTGTGTGGGCAGGGCAGGTCTGCCTGCTCTGACCTGGTAATGCTCTTGAGCTCGCTCCACAGAATTGACCAGTCCTTAATAAAGAGCATTGCTGATTGCTGGAGTTTTTAATTTTGCAGTTGGCCTGCCCTGTCCTCCTCTAAACCCACACAAAGGGAGCTTTGGCTTGGTGAGGACGTGCAGGATGGGTGGTGGCCGTGGCTGACAGCTGGTGGGCTTGGGGCAGGCTGTGGGTTGTCTGATGGGACCTGTTGCATGGAGAAGGACCAAGGCTGTCCCAGCTCTAATCACGCTTTGTGTCCCTGCCTACCTCCTCCTGTGCCCAAATGTCTCAATGGACTGCCAGAAACGAGTGTGCCAAGTGTGTGTGGAGTGTGCTGGGGGTACAGACACCACTGATGAAAGCCTGCTCCTTTCCATAGCCCCGATGAGGGAAATGTCCCTGGGCTGGCAGGGATCACAGCCAGCTCTTGTCCACAGTACCCACGCGCTGCGCTGGCGTTTCAGCTGGGGAGCAGTGGTTTGAAAAGCCCTTTTTGTGAGCAGTGTGACCCCAGCGTGGGGACTGCAGTGGGACAGCTCTGCCCAGGGGCTGTGGCCTCTTGGCCATGCTGCTCAAGGCTCACTTTTCCCTGTGGCCTTTCCTGACTGTGCATGAAGGTGCTGCCAGCTCTGCTCCCTTGCCTGTCCCCCATGGGTCCCCTGTGGCAAGGTCAGGCAGCTGAGCTCTTCCTCCAGGAGCAAATCCTCCAGCTGCCTTGTGTGGCTGGTATTTCTGGCTTTCCTGTTTCCTCCTTTCCCTGCTGGCTTGCAGGATGCCCGCAGGCTTTGGCTTGGTAAGTTGCCAAGGAGTTAAGCCCATGATTACCGTTCCTGTCTCCTTGCAGTGCCGTGGGCCAGCGTCCTCCTTTGGGGCACGAATCGTAGTTCCTGCTAGGATTAGATTCCTCCCAGCAGGAAGTACGTCCCAAGGATCTGCTCCTGCCTAAGGATTGTTTTCCTCTTTCTGTGCTGTCTTTCTTATACACAGTTGGGTCCTCTGTGTTTGCAGCACGACCCTGTGCAGCTTTGAGGGAAAGCAAGTTAGCTCACCCTCACTGCTATTCTATCATAGAAATGAGGAATCTGCCTCTGAAAAGTGCCACAGTTTCTCCCCAATCCAGGGATTCCAAAGTAGGAAAGGAGCATCAGGAAACACTCCACAGGCACGTGAAGATATAACCTTCTACCCTTTTGCTGAGTGTTACAAACGTTGGTTTTGGATGGCCTTGACTCTGCTGTCTCTGTGCAGTTTTTCCCTTTCTCAGCTGGTGTGATGCTTCTTTCCAGCCCCGAGCTGCAGTTTGGCTGGTTTGGGTAATGTATATTTTGCTGGGTGTGATCTCTAGGTGTGTAGCTGGGCAGAGAGATGGAGGATCTAGTTTGTCACTTTGATGGCACTTTGAGTAGCTGTTGTCCTCTTGCACACCCTTTCAGCCTACCTGGGGCTGTTCTCACTATCCCACCAGCATTTCTTCCAGCTAAGAAAACCACTAGGCTTTAAAAGGTATGTCTGAAAGAGTGACATTTGCAGCACATGAATTTGCATAGTGTTACGTGTCACAGGAGGACAGCACCTGTGTCCTGAGCTGGGTAAATGGATAACCACAGAATGGTTTGGGTTGGAAGGAACCTTTACAGATCATCTCATGGGCAGGGACACCTTCCACCACACCAGGTTTCTCCAAGTTCCATCCAACCTGGCCTTGGACATTTCCAGGGATGGGGCAGCCACAGTTTCTCAGGACAATCTGTGCCTCCTCACCCTCACAGGGAAGAACTTCCTCCTAACATCCAATCTAAATCTCCCCTCCTTTTGTTTAAAATCATCCCACTGTTCTTTTACTCTCTGCCCATGTAAAACATCAGCCTATATGCTCAGCAGGAGACAAGGGCACAGCTCTTCTTGCCTCTTGGCACATGAACTCTGCTGGGGCAGAGGGCACCCATCTGCTCTGTGCTGTGCCCAGGGCTTCCTGCTGCCTATTCTATCACCTTTCCTTCTGCCATCAGTCTTTCCTCCTGACCTTTTCCTCCTCCTTGGTGTCTCTGGTGACCTCTTATCTTCAGGGCACGTTTCTCAGAGTGAAGTTTAGGCATCTGTTAGTGCTCTCTGGTTCAGGGTGATGGTTTTATAGTAGGCATGTGGGTGGTTCTGGCTGGAGGAACATGGATCACCACATACCTAATGGGACTGGCATGAGAAATCAGGGACACAGAGTGCACTGTTCCAAGAAACATGAAGCCTCCTATGTGCTTCCGTGGGTGGATAAAGCCCTGCAGCCTGCCCCCAGCAGCTCCCCTACCAACTGCTGTGCTCTCTCCCTTCCAGACTCCCTCTATGTCTCCGAGTACTTCTCCCAGAGTGCACAGAAGCTCTCCTTCTACAGCTGGTATGGGAACGCCAAGCTCTTCCACTTCCACGTGCCAGAGGACACCGTGCTGCTGCGCTGGCTCCTGCAGGCATCCCGGGGGAAGGGCCCCGAGTGCACCAGCATGGAGATCACTGTGTACGTATGTCCCCAGGCCAGGCCTTGTCCTTGTAGGCTTCTTGTCCCCTTGTCCTGGTCACTCGTGGCTGGGGCTGGTTGGTTGTGGAGGTTGGGCAGTTCCTCAGCAGCAGGAGCTGTAGTTTCTTTATACAGCAGCACTAAGTCGGTGTTTAAACCTGTAGGAGTGTTTTGTGTTCATCTTACCAGCCGATCTGGGGCTGCCTGTCAGGTGTGGTGTCCAAGAGACCCCTTAGGACACTGGAGAGAGCTTCACAGTGAGGCAGATGTGCTGCTCAGAGGTGCTCCTGGCCTGGCAGAGCCTGCACACGGTGCCAAACGATGTGGCAGCACTACAAGGGACCTGAGCAGAGCCAGACTGGCTGGAGATGGGCAAAAACTGCCCAGTGCAGAACTGAGGAGATTTGGGGACACTTTGTGAGGGGCATGGCCAAGCGTGGAGCAGAGATAGGAGAGGAATGTGCTGTCCTGTGGGCACAGGAGCACAAGAAGATGGCAAACTCAATGTCAGTGAGAGAAATGCTGCTTTTAAAACAGTACTTGACTTGCTGAAGGATTTGAGATCCAAAACTTGTCAGATTTTGAGCTTTATCTTTGGAGAACACCAAGCTTCCTCAGCAGGTTGTGCCCATGGAGTCACACGGGTCTCTGGCACCCATTCCACAGAGATCTGGGAGTGACTGAAGCTGCTTGGCTTGTGCCTCCCTGGTCTGTCCTGGGGAGACTGGCACTCTTAGTTGCTCCTGAGCAGCCTGTCACAGATGATCTGCCTGCTTTCTCCTTCCCAGAAAGGTTTCCAGTAGTCTGAGGACATGAGGGACAAGGCAGCAGCTAAACAATAATCCAAGAAATGATGGCTAACCCAGATAAGCTCCAAGGGCTGAGAACATATCACCTGTCATGTCTGCTTGCTGGACCTGTTGCAGTGCAGTCCAAAAGCAATCAAATTAAATGCCAAATTGACTGAGTAAATATCTCCCACGTTCCTCAGCTGTGTGTGTTTCTGCTACTTCAAATGCTGGGCTTATCTAGAAAGCAGAAGTGCTGCTGTTCTGAAGTCTGTAATATGGGCCTTCCTTGGAAAGTGTCTTTTTAGTCTGTATGTTTGCCTTCCTTAAAAGAGGAAATGGGAAGATGCAGATCTTAGCTAGAAAATTAAAGTTCTTTGTGGATTATTTTCCCTATATGGGAATTTGATGATGGTTATAAGGCAGTAGTCTGTGGGTGGAGCTTAGCCTTAGCAAGTGTTGGAAATTTGCTCCCAGGCTTGATGGAACCATGTAAATCTTAATAAGCTACCAAGTTAAACCAATCTCTAAATAAATCCCAGATAAGCTAATAGCAGCCAGTCCTCACCAGGTGAAAATGATGACTCCACTTGAAAATGTGGGGTTTTCCAGCCTGCTCCCGTTGCCATCCCAGGCCGGTTTGTACCCCAGTTTATCTTGGCGGTGTCTGTACCTCCCTGAGTTTGCTCTCGCCGTGGTTTCTCTCGCAGGCACTTTCGGCACGGAGCCCCTCCCGTCATTAACCCTTTGGGCACTCGCTTTCCTGCCAACGCCACCGTCCGTCCCTCCTACAACATCAGCATCACCCTGAGCAGTGCCGTGCAAAACACCACCTTCGTGAACGTCAGCAGCCCCGCTGCCGGGGACTGGTTCATCGCTGCCCACCTGCCCGAGGCTGCGGGCAGGATCGAGGTGAAGGTGAGGGGCCTGCCCAGCGCCTGCCCCACCCGTCTCATGGCAGCCACAGCTGACCCCTGTGCTCTCCCCTCCTGCAGGGTTTCTCCACTCCATGCCCCTATATGTTCCAGGCAGATATGTTTGTGCTCAGACTCACTGATATGCCTGTCCTGGAGCCTGGTGTCCCCATGCCACACACCGTTGTCTCGCCTGCTAAGCCACTGCATGTCAAGTGAGTGGGAGCAGTGGGTGGGCGACCGAGGGCACGGTGGGGTGGGACTTCCCACTTCCCTAAGCTGCTTAGGGGAAGCCAGTGTTGTTCCCACGTGGGGCTGGAGCTGGGGGGTCTCTGAGCTCCCTGCAGCAGTGGCAGGGTCTGCACAGGGAGCACACGAGCACCCTTCTCTGACTCTTCCCAGGTGGTCATAGATTCAACTGCAGGAGTTTTAGTGCTTCCAGATGTTTGCCTTGAGAAGGATTTTCACAGCACCAACCAGGGCAGTCTAGCACTTGTCACAAAGCCCTGGGGACCTGGCTTGTGTTGGGAGTACAAGCTCTGCAAACTGCTGCTCCCTCCCCCTGCAGGGTCTTCGTTCCCAAGCACGCGGCGGAGATGCGGTTCCAGCTGAGCAGCTGCGTCACCAGCGAGCAGAGAGCCTGCACTGTGCGGGTGCTGCTGGGCTCCATCACCCTGCCCCAGTCCTTCCAGAGGAGCCTCACCTGCACCGGGAGCACCAACTGCAGCCTGGCCCTGGAGTCGCCCCCCTGGGAGAAGTGGCTGCAGATCATGGTGGAGAGTCTCGGCACTGCCAATGCCAGCGTGTCGGTGGAGATGCTGGCTTCTTTCACAGGTGGGATTCCGTGTTCTTTAGCAGTGGGGGAAGGACCAGAGGGAGCTCTGTGTGTGCTGTGCCACCCTGGGTCTTTGGGTGCCTGGCGGTGGTGGCCCATGCTCCCCATCATGCTGGTTGCCACCTCTTGGATGCCCTAGTTCTTGCTTTGGGGACAAATTTGAAAGCTCCAGTGTTCACCCCAGAGAGACTTTTGCTAGAGCTGCCCATTTGGAAACACCTGAGAAGTTCAGTGTTATTTTTCTAAAGGTTGTTTGGGAAGCAGTGGCTGGCTTAAAATTTGGTGGGAAAAATAGTTTTATGTGGTACACCAGACTGAGGCTGTGTTGACTACTAATTGGCCAAGAGTGGGTAACAGGCAGGAAACCACCTCGCAGAGGTTTACTTGGGAAATGTCTGGAGTTGTTGTGAGGGGGTGTCACCATTTCCAGTGACTGTGTGGCTCAGGTGGTCACAAGGTCCTTGTGGCTGTGATAGGCACCTTTGCACCTATTACGTGCCTGCAATCCCTGTTTGACTGCTGGAAGCTCACCAACTATATACATTTTTAAAGTTTTCTTCTGCTGGGGGTTCTGCCACCTCCTCTTCTAAGCAGAGCCTCATCCTGTGTGCTGGAAGACCTGGCACTGGCAGCAGAGGTGTCAGAGGGTAGCACTGGAGTCTCTGGGAGCAATGGACAGTCTCCAGCAGTGGGCCTCCAAGTGTCCCATTCTGCTCCATCTGCCACAGTGTGCCCAGCTCCACTGGGCTGGCTTCTCCCTCCTGCTCAGCTTTGTTTGCTCATATATGGGGAGCTGGGAGAGGCTTCTGTGTAGCTTTGTGGCTGGGCTGTGGGACAGCTGAGTGCTGAGCTCTGCTGGTGGTGAGCGAGCACTCCCTGGGCACCTTGGTGGTGCTGTGTTATCCCTTGTTCTGTTCCCCCTTCCCTGCAACTCCAGGGTGCTCCCACCCACTGTGCCACTGCCTGGCTCCCAGCAGTGTCCCAGCTTGTGGATGCTCCTCCTGCAAAGATGGCACCTCAGGGACAGTTCCTGCAGGACATGAACCACCTGAAACCCCCCAGTTTGTGCTGCCCCTTGGAGCACTGCATCTGTGACATTTCTCCCCTCTCAGCCCCTAAATTATCAGGCTAGCCCAGAGATGCGAGACCTTGAGGGGAAGAAGATCAGGAGATGGGCAAAGATTCCAAAAGAGGCTCTTACCCCAATGTGGTTTTCCAGCTCTTTATTCTGTGATGTCCAGGGGAAAGAGAGGGGCAAAGAGAGAGAACAGGAAGGGTCAGGGGTTTATCCAGGCTTTGGATAAGGAGGGTTTCTCTGGCTCTCCGCCAACCCCATTGGGGCAGGAAGGAGGAGACCAGGCTTATCTGATCAGAGTCACAGGGGCCCCGGGGAAAGGGGGGAAAACATGGCCTGAGTGCACTGTAACACATCTGCTGGGACCCTGCCTGGGTGAGGTGCTAGACCTGGCTGTGCTGATTCCTCTCCTTTTTGGCTCTAGTTTGCAGACCAGGAAGCACCAGTTCCTTCCTTAACTTCATCAGCCTAAACCAGAGCCAGGCTGGTGCCAGACCAGGAGCAGCAGGCAGCTCTGCTCCAGCTGCAGGAGAGGCTCCAGGAAATGTGTCCGGCCAGAGGAGCTCCTGCCTGCAGAGCCAGCCCGTGGTGAGGGAGGACCTGGACGTGGTGTCCGTGCGCTACCGGCTCCTGAACGGCCCCGGCGTGCCCGTGACCTCCCTGTCCCCCACCCTGCTCCAGCTCAACCTGAACACGGGCATGGACAGCGGGGGATCCCTCGTGGTCAGTCTGCTGCTCAACAAGGTGAGCAGGCTGGTGGACGGGGTCGTGTCCCCTTGGCAGGGCTTGTCCCGGCTCCTGCATGCTCCAGAGGTTGTAGGAACCAGTGGGACTATTTCTCTTTTTGTTGTTACAAAATACTCCGAGCCTTTTTTAGCTGCTCCCAGCATGTCCCACCTGCCAGCTCCAATTCAAATGCCACAGCCTGCAGCATGGGGCGGCAGTGACGCAGAGGAGACAAAATGGAAAGCAGCTGCAATGCCATCTTCTCCATGGGAGCCTGGCACCTTGCCACCAGGAGAGGAGGCTGAGCAGGGGAACCCAGGGATGTTCCTGTCCAAGTCCCTGATTCCCAGGGTCCTTCAGTGACACCCCACCACTAAAATAACCCCCTGAAAGTTCATGAAACTTCTTGAGGGCTGGCCCAGAGCTCAGCCCTGATGTTCTGCAGACTCTGACTTGCGTCTCCCCTGGGTTGGTTGAAATGATGAGTGGGTATCCCAGTTTTTGGGGCAGTTCCCCTGGCAGGGTCCCCCACAAGAATGCCTCTCAGTTGTGACACAACACAGTGGTAGCACAAGTGAAATAGAAACCTTCGGAATTGGTGGGTAACTTGACCTGAAGGATTTATTGTCCCTGGCACTGTGGGAAAGGAATGGTGCAGGGGGATGGCATTGGGGCACTCTAACATGGGACACTGCTCTGTTTGCACAGACATCTGTGAGCCTGGCCAATGCCACCGTGGCAGCCTGTGTGAGTGCTGCTTCTCCAGTGCTGTCACTGAACGCCACACAGAACTGCAGCACAGGTAGGATTGATGCTGGCACTGCCACCAGCTCAGCTGTGTCACCTCAGGGCTCTGCTTTTAGACCTGGCAAGCTGTAAACTGACTCAGGACTTCGTGGTGTGTCCCAAAGAATCAGATTTTTGCACAAACCCTCGTGAGGTCTTTGTGCTGGCACATTCCCCGCATGCTGGGGTGCAGGTGGTGGTCTTGGCACAATGAGATAGCCTCCACCAAAGGAAGGTCTGGTTACCAGCTGGGGTTCTTCCAGCCTTGTTGGCACGAGCTTTGGGGATGGTGAAGGTACTGCTAGTGTGCAAGCAGCTAAGCTGTACACTGGAGAACCAGCCAAGACAACAGGCTGTTTCAGGTGCCCCGTGCTGCCCAGGAAATAAGATGACAGAAAAAATTGAGATCTCAAGAAATAGGGTCTTGAAAGCAGGGGTCCTCTCCATGCCCCTGGTGCCTCCTGAGCATGGGAGCAAGGAGCCACTGGAGGCAGCTGATTCCTGTGTGGTCAGTCTCAGGCTGGGATTGCTGTAGGCCCTTCTCCTCAAGCCCTGGCACATCACAGCACCCTCCTTTTTCCAGCTTTCTCCCAGGGCTACCCTCTGAGTGTGAGCACGTCCTCTGCGGAAGCGATGCTGATTGTCCTGTACCCACAGACCGATGACTGGTTCCTGTCCCTGCAGCTCCTCTGCCCCAAGGGACAGGGGTGAGTCTGGGTGTCACCCTGCTACATCCCACTGCCCTTGGCTCGTGTGAGCAAAGCTGACCCCCTGTCCTCCTGTGTGGGCTGTGGGCTCCTCTCACCTGGTGGCAGTTGAACTGTGGCTGCAGAGGGACAGGGAGGTGGGTGGCCCTGCTCACTTGATCCTTTGTGAGCACCCAAGCAGTTTGTTTGATGCTGAGCTGGCACAGCTCACGTAGACTGCAGATGGCAGAGCCTGCTTGGGTGAGCTTCAGATCCCCAGGTGGATTCAGAGGTGATAAATTGGGAAATAATTGCTGCTGTTACCCTTCTGGGAGCTCTCTAAAGTGCAGGCAGCTGTGCCTGAATTCCTGCAGTTTGCCTTCCTGCTGGTTTCCTGTGTAAGAAGCCAAGTTGCATAATGCAAAACAGCACTGGTGACACTAGTCCTGAGGACAGTCATGGGCACTGGGGTCTGCCATGGGGGTCAGGGGAGAGCTGACACCCACCTGGACATCAGTTTGGCAGCCCAAGTGTCAAGGGAGCAGGCTTTGCTCCTGGCTCTTGGGAGGGATGGAGCAGATCCTGAAATACCAGGGAGCTTGCAGGCAGGAGCATGGCCTGGCTTTTGGGAGCAGGGCAGGGGCTGTCCCAGGGACTGTGGCACCAGGGGG